CCTTCTTTGGGATGGGAACAAATATAGACCTCTTCCAGTCAGTTGGCCAAGTGGTTGTTCTCCAGATTTCTTGGCACAACTTGGTGAGCACATCCACGGCAGCATCTGTTAGCTGAAATACTTCAATTGGTATACCATCTATTCCGGGGGCCTTTTATATATATATAATGATTCGTGTCATGGATTGGGCCCCAATTTGAAAGATTTTTCTCTCCCCTCCCCCCGCAATTTTTAGCAGCTTTTCCAGAAGCTCCATGTTTGCAATCAACATTTGGAAGTATACTAAAACACTGATTTAAAAATACTTGAATGAATTTTTTTTTATTTCATGTCTAACATAGCTTCTGAACTTCAGGTATAAGCTGGAACTTATAACTTATATACCTGCTTGTGGGAGGACAAATTGGTGTAATCTTTTGGGAAGGCAATTTGACAAAAATCTTCCACATGCGTTTAGGATAGCAAACGTCACAACACACTGTCACTCTCACCCTAGCAATGACAACAAGTCAGATCAGTTGAAAATTATTGTATTTAAAACCTATCAAAGAACTGAGTCTGGGGGGTGGAGCTCAACCAGAACCATGAAACTCTAGAGTTTAGCAGCAGACAGCCAGGAGCAGAGTAATCATGTAGGAAGACAGGGTTAGAGGGAGCAGAAGCCTCAAGTGAACTCCGGTGGTGACTAATCAAATACCTGGAATTAGGGGTAGACAGTCACTCTGAAGACTAAAGTACATCCTGACCCTAGCTTCACAGCCATGTGAGAACTAGACAATGAATAAAGGGACTGGAGATGAATGGATGCTTTTAAATCATAGCAACGGCAGAGAATACAAACTTCATGCTGTGGTGAACCGCCAGAAGAACAAGCGAGTCTGTCTCAGAAGAAGCACCCCCAGAGTCTCCTTGGAAACGAGAACAGGGAGGTTTCTTTCACCTTGCAGGCTTTGGGCCTGCGATCAGGAAGGACCAATCTCCAGAAAAGACCATCTTGCTTGGTAAAGCAGGTCAGTGAAAGAGTGGAGGAGACTCGATGAGCTGGACTGACACACAGTGGCTGTAAGAGTGGACTTAAGCACACGGAGGGGGCAGGACGGGGTTATGGTTTGTTCTATCGTCTCTCTGTGTCAGAACCAACTTGACAGCATCAACACTGAGTCGATCTTTAAGAGACAAACCTCAAAAGGGTCAAGGTTTCCTTCCTGTCAAGGACTGGTGGTGTCAGTGTTGTTACTCAATTATGTAGAAACAGGATGAATCTTCAAGGAGAAGCTTTCAAGATAAAAGTTACCATCCTCTTAAAAACCCTAAACAAACTCCCATGTAACTTGAAGTGAAAGTCCTCTAAATTCCTTCTAGTTTGATCTCTTCTCCATGGTTCCAAATGTCTGTAATCAACTCAGCATTCAGAAGAGAGAGCTTCTGCTTATACTTGAAGTGGAGAGTACAAGCTGTTAGAAGAGAATGCAGAACACATGCACAGGACCACACTCACCACCATTCCCAGAACGAGAAGGGGAGGCTGCGGCAAGTCCTGAGACAAAGAAAGTGCCGGTGGGGAGTGAACTCGCTGTAAACTTCTGCCCCATACATCCAAATCTCCTTAAACGGAAAGAGTCTGTCGGAACTGAGAACATTCTTTACATTTTCTTATTACTCACACAGTGTAAATGACAGACTGTAGGATGGCATACAAGGAGACAGAATAGCCCATGGTCTTTTCCGTCACTTGCAATGCATCTGAAGGTTGGACACTGATTAAGGATGACAGAGAAGAATGGATGCCTTGGAGCTGTGGGGTGGGAGAAAAGCTCTGAATGTCCTCTGGACTGCCAAAAGAACAACTAAATCTGTCTTGAGGGAGGTGAAACCGGGGTGCTCCTTAGAGGCAAAGGTGGTGAAACTTCCTCTGATGCACTGTGAGCACGTTGCTAGGAGGGGCTGTTCCTGGGAAAGGGACATCATGCTTGGAAAGGTGGAGGGTCGACAAAAGGGAGGAAGACCCTCAACGAGCTGGGTTGACTCAGGGGCTGTAACACTGGGCTGGGGTCTATCGGAGGTGTGAGGATGGCACAGGACAGGGCAGGGCTACGTTCTGTCATTCACGGGGTCACCTGGAGCTGCACTCTTCTCGGCGACACCTAACAACATCAACGAATAATCCTAACAGGGTTTTGAAGATACTCTCTTTTCTTTTCATCTCATTCCTCCTCCCCATCTTCCACTTCTTTTTTTTATTCATGTTTCCTTTCTTGTCTTTCTTTCTCCCTGCCTCCCCTCCCTCACCCTCCCTTCACCCCAACTTCTAGAACAAATCCTACACACATACTAGGTACTATCCGCACGCTGGTTAAGCTAAGTGACTGGATATTTACATGGACTGAAGGAAAGAAGAAGATGGCCAAGAGGGAGGGGGGTACAGAGGAAATCACTGATGACCTGTGTCCGGGGAAATGGTTGAGTAAGTCGCTGTATAAAACACCAGGCAGCCGTTGAAAGGGATGGGGAATGGCTGCATGTCTGCAGTCTCACGTGGCAGAGCAGCACTGCCCACAGGACATCCGACATTGTGATCTTTACAGAAACAGATTCCCAGGCCTTTCTCTCAAGAAATCAGCAGGTGGATTTGAACCATCAACTTCCGGTTAGCTGCTGAGCATTTAAGCATTGTGCTGCATAACTGTTCCTTAACATATTGGAAAGAGAAAGAGAGAGAACATTTCAAAGGATTAGAAAGAAAAGGAAATTTTAAAAGAGGTAAGTGGAAGATGAGTGGAAAAGTGAGAAAGAAAAAGCCAATAGGATTTCCAGCATCTTAAAACAGAAAGACATGCCTCCTATAAAAGTGATCTTGGGCATATGTTAAGATTTGGAAAATGTTTGTGAATGAATGGACAAATGGAAAGGCATGTACACTAGCAAATGTATTGCATTTAAAGCCAAGTGAGGCAGTTTAACACAGAGTATGGTAGCTAAGCCCAGGAATTCTAGAGTCACTGCCTGGGTTCACGCCATTTGAAAACTCTTGTCTTTACACAGGCTACTTCATCAGCCTGTGCCTCAGTTTCCCTCTGTTGAAAAGAAGGCTGACAATAGAACCTGTTAGAAGGAGCAGGAAAATAAACAATCCATCCCAAAAGCGGGAATTCTGAGCCAGAGACCCTGCAGAGGGTAGAGCCGCTGCACGTTTTCTACTGTTGCTGGTGTCAGAATGCTCACCTGTGGAAGGAGGGGTGAACCCATTTTGGAAGCAAGTCCTTGAGAACAGTCTGCACGGTGAAGAATAGGGTCTTAAATGTGGCTCTTTGGGGGTGAAGAAACACCTAGTACGCCAGTCTGGTAGGACCTCCAGTTTGTCCATTAAATCCCTAATGATATTGAAAGAGAAAACACATATGACATTATCTCACAGCACAGCTTACGGGCGTGCTAAAGACGGACCGACTGCACTGAGAGGGTCTGATGCATCGCAGACACATCGCAGCCCGCTCTTGGGTTTCTGGGGTCATAAACCTTTATGGAGGAGACAGGTCATATTGCAGAGTGGGTGGTGGGTTTGAACCTCTGAAGTCAGCAGCAGAGAGACCTTAACCACTGTCAAGGTTGCTGTTGTGTTTTTATGCACCATCGAGTCAAGTATGATTCACAGCAAGCCTCTGAGCAGCAGACCTGAACCCTGTCCTGTCCTGTGCCAGCCTCACAATCTTTGAGACGCTTGAGCCCATTGTTGTAATCACTATGTAAATCCAATTGTTGACGCTGCACCTTGCCAAGCATGGTGCCCCTTTTCAAGGAATAGCATCTCCTAACAAAATGATCAAAGCATGTTCTCGGAGAGGGACGTCACTCTTGGGAGGGTGGAGGGACAGCGCAGGAGAGGGAGACACTCGAGATGGATTGATTTAGTGACTGGCGTAATGTGGGTAGGTGTGTCAGAGACAATGAGATTGGCAAGGGATAGAGCAGGGTTTAGGGCTGTTGTACATAGGGTCACTATGAGTTGCAGGCAACTTGACAGCACATAACAATAAACAACATGTTAGGCAAAACTTTGTCATCTTTGCCTCTAAGAAGCATTCTTGCTGCACTTTCTCCAAGATATATGTTTGGGTTTTTGGTAGCCCAGGCGATATTCCACTCTCTTCACTAACACTACAACTCAGAAGCATCAGACTTCTGTCATCCTTATTCATTGTCCAGCTCTCAGATGCATAGCAAGTGATTGAGAAGAATCAGGAGCACCTTAATCTTCAAACTGACATCACTGCTCCTTAGTACTTTGGAGATGTCCCTGACAGCAGACTTTCCTAATGTAATACGTCTTCTGATTTCTTAACTGCTGGTATCAATGCTGTTGATTATGGAGCTAAGAAACATGAAATCATTGACAGTTATAATATTTTCTCCATCTATCATGATGTTGCCTATGTGCCCAGGGGTGAGAATTTTTGTCCACTTCATGTTAAGGTGTAATACATACTGAACGCTGGAGTCTTTGACCTTCTGCAGAAAGCTTTTCAAGTCCTCTTCACTTTCAGCAACCAAGCTTGTTTTATCTGAATAGCACAGGTCGTTGATGAGATTTCCTCCTTTCCTGATGGCCCGTTCTTCTTCATGGAGTCCAGCTTCTCAAACTTTTTGCTCAGTTGTGGCTGTTGTTATATGCCATCTAGTTGATGAAGATTCATAGGAACTCTCTGTACAACAGCTCTGACCTTTGCCCTGTACAACAGCTCTGACCTTTGCCCTGTACAACAGCTCTGACCTTTGCCCTGTCCTAAGCCAGTCTCTGACACACCACCCCTCCACTACCCCTATCACTGTGTCAGTCCATCTCATCCAGGGTCTTCCTCTCCTGTGCTGTACTTTCACCCTTCCAAGTACGATGTCCTTCTCCAAGGACTGGTTCTCCCTGGCAACATGGCTAAAATATGTGAGACAGAGCCTCAAAACGTTGCCTCCATGGAGCAACTTGGTTTCACTGTCTCCAGGACAAACCTGTTTGTTCTTTTCCTTCATTACCATTGGTATTTGATCATATGCTACTTCTTGAAATAGTATGTTGTCAACTAATTCTTTTTGGTACAGTCAATTTGTGTATTCCTTCCATCTCCTTCTGAATGATTAAAGATTTGCCCATAGCATTTCCCAGTATTGCCAACTAGAGGCTTCAATTTATTTTTCAGTTCTCCTGACTTGAGAAAGGATGATAGAATTTTGTACAACTAATGATTTATTCATTACATTTCAAATACCTTTTACAAAAAATATAAGCATCACTTATATACATGGACCTCACCTGATGGTCTGCAAAGGAATCAAATTGATTACATATGTGGGAAAAATTGTTGGTGAAGCTTGATCTCAGCAGTGAAAACTAGGCCAGGTGTTGATTGCAGAACAGACCACCAACTATTCATATGCAAGTTCAAACTAAAGCTAAAGTAAGTTAAATCACACCCACAGGAACCCAAATTAGACCTTGAGTCTTTATCACCTAATTTTGAAACTACCCAAATTAGACCTTGAGTCTTTATCACCTAATTTCGAAACTATCTCAGAAACAAATTAGAGGCCTTGCACACCAAGGAACAAAGACCAGAGAAGTTATGAGGGGACATCAAGAATATCGCACACAAATAAAGCAAAAGGTCATTACAAACACAGAAAAGGAAGAAAAGATCAAGATGGATGTCAGATGATAATCTAAATATTGTATTAGAGTGCTGAGAAGCCAAAGCAAAGGGAAGAAAGCAGGATGAGGCTGAACAGAAGATTTCAAAGGGCAGCATGGGAAGACAAAGCAAAGTATTATAATGAAATGTGCAAAGAACTGGAGTCATAAAATCAAAAGGGCAGAATTTGCTCAGCATTTCCAAACCTGAAAGAACTACGAAAAAAATTCAAGCCTTGAGTTGCAAAGACACTAGGGGCAGAATATTGAATGATTCAGGAAACATTACAAGAAGATGAAAGGAGTATACAGTCACTATACCAAAAGGAATTGGCTAACATAGAAAAATTTTATCAAACAACATACAGATTCCTGCCTGGACAGCACCCCTGCCCAGAGCACGAGACCACTGCCCCATCACATGGAGACTGTCCTGTGTCAAGAGCACCAATATCACAGGTAAAGCCATGTCCTTCCCAAACACCACCTGGTTACCTCGACCCCTTCCAGAGCCAGTTCTTGAGCTGCCGACCCTATGAACCCCACCTAACTACAGCAGTTGCCTGGCCAAGAGACTGCTAATTCACAGGCCATCTCTCTCCCCAACTGAAGTGAGTCTTCTCTTGAGTCAAAGGATGAGAGAGATATTCAGGCAGGATGAGCTGCCCTTCCTGGCTTTGGAGCAGTGAGCTCAGGAGGCAAGGTTACCAGACCAAAGGCCTGTAAGGCCCCAGGCATGGAAAAACTCTATCATATCAATGACACAGAAGAAGCAAGACTACCTCACATCCTGCACAAAACCAAAACAAGATGTCAACCAAAAAAAAAAAGTCATCAAAACACAAAATCATACAATCATTCTCAGTCATTACATTTTATAAATTAATCACCATTGGACTTTGGCCATCATTACCCTGTCTTTTCATCCTGCTCTTTCCAATTTACCTCTCTCCTCTCCCCTCAACCCACCAAACTATAATCCTGTGCTTTCACCCCTACCCATCCTCAGCCTTCCCACCCTTGAGTTCACATACGTGTTTTACTGGTTATCCTCTTTTTACAGTAACAGTCTTATGCTGTATTTGTCTTTATGAGACTGCATTAGTTCACTCAGCATAATGCTCTCCAGCCTCTTCCAAGTTATGCAGTATTTTTCAAAACCATTGCTCCTGAGTGCTGCATAGTTTTCCATCATATGAATGTACCACAATTTCTCAAACCATTCAGTTGTGGTTGGACATTTGGGCTGTTTTCATGTTCAGGTGAATAATGCCACTATGAACTTTGGTGTACAAATCTTAATTTGTGTCTCACTTCTACTTTCCTTGGAGTATATTCCTAGTAATGGAATAGTTGGGTTCTACAGAGTTTCTACGTTCAACTTTTTGAGGAAATGCCAAACTGTCTTCCAGGGTGGTTACACCATTTTACAATCCAAGCAACAATATATGAGAGTTCCCACCTCTTCACATCCTCTCCAACATTTATTGCTTTCTGCCTACTAAACTTTGCCACTGCTACTGGGGTGAAATGGTATCTCACTGTGGCTTTGATTTTCATCTCTCTAATTATCAGTGATTTTGAGCATTTCTTCACGTGTTGGCCACTAGAATATCTTCCTCTGTGACAAGTGCCTTTTGCCCATTTTGTAATTGGGTTATCAGTCTTTTTCTTCAGGAGGTACAGGAGTATTCTTTAAACTTTTGTTATAAGATCCTTGTCTGAGATGGTTTTGTCAGATGTTTTTTCCTAGTCAGTAGGCTTTCTTTTCACCCTGTTGGAAAAAGGTTTTTTATGATCACAGAGAAACACAATGTGAATAAAAAATAGTATAAAACACAATGTATATGAGCTTTCTGGGCAAATCAGTTAAGAGTGTGTGTGTGTGTGTGTGTGTGTGTGTGTGTGTGTGTGTAGATATAAAATAAAACAACAAGGGATCCTGGGCTGCACAACCCTGTTTAAATGCTGGCATCAACTCTCTTTCCAACCCTGGGAAGACAACTGGCCTCTGAATCCACAGTCTGGGGGTGCCTTTTGGCCTCCATTGATTCATCATGTCTCCTCTCCATGCCTCCCCTTCCAGATCTATGCCATGAACTAGACATTAAACTAGATTCATGTTATCAGGCTGCATCCATCTCCTTGACCTTCACACATTTTGACAATCTGCAAGCCACCCATGCCTATGCTATTATTTTACTCATTATTCTCCTTAAACAAAATTTAAGTTGCTTCACATTTTTGTAAAATATTGCTCTGTCCTGAGTCACAGGGCAATCTATGAAATTGCTCATTGCTTTCACCAAAATAAATGCAGCTGAAAGGAAAATTTGCTATCACTGTTGTACACAGAAAATCAGTGTTGCTTGCTGTCAATTATCAATATATTAAAAAATAAACATAAAAGAAATCAGACAACAAACAAATAGATTGAAGAACTGTGGTACATTCAAATGATAGAATGCTATGCAACACACTCAGGAGCAAAGATTTTAAAAAATATGACAAAATATGGGAGAGGCTACAGAGCATTATGATGAGTGAATTAACTCAGTCTCATAAGGATAAATACTGCATAAGAACACTATTGTAAAAATAGAGGGCTAATTAATAAGATGTGTATAAAAGTCCATGGGGGGGGAGCAGGGAGAAAAGTGCAACAAAGAATGACTGAAAACCCTAAG